CGGCAGCGACCCGGCGGCTGGGTGGAGGCCGCAGGGGGGAGGCCGGCAGGGAGTACTGCTGCGCGCAGTAGGGGAACGGCGCGGTCGAGCTCGGGCTCGCGCGGAGGCGGACGCGAGAAGCAGCCGGGCAGCGAGAGGCCGGAGCCGGCAGCGAGACCGGAGTGGGCGGTGGGCGGCGGGCGGCGGGGGCAGAGGCGGTCGCGCGACCTCCGGAGATGCGTGGGAGGGGCGGAGGGATCGACTGGGGTGCTGCTGTGTATCCCTCGCATCGCTGGCTGCTAGATGGGCCTGGCCCAGGACGTGGGTCTTCCAGTGTGTGTGGGAGCGTACGGTGAAGTTTTTTTATAGCCTAAAAAAACTTCTTTCTTTTTTATTTCGAGTGGTTTTATTTCAATTTAATGAAATAATGGACTTTAAAAATGTGCATAAATTTACATATTCTAGCGAAGATGGAAATTTTTCCAAATTTAAAAATTACTTTAGAAAACTGTTCATGCATTTGTAAAATGTTTGCATTTCAGAAAATGTTCGCCACCTCAAAACAAATTCACGAATTTGAAAAATATACATGAATTTGAAAAAATAGATAAATTCAAGCCTAATTGTAAATTGAAAGAATTTTCGTGAAATACAAAACATCTTCATGAATTTGTAAAAAGTTCATGAATTATAAAAATGTGGATTCAAAACATATTTGTGAATTCAAAAAAGTTCATGGATACAAAAAGTGTTCACCCATTCATAAAATGTTTGCGCATTTAGAAAAAGTTCGTGAGTACAATATTGTTCATGTATTTAAAAAACATCATGAATTCCAAATTTGTTCATGAATTTAAAAATATTCGCAGTTTAAAAAAATGTTCACCAATTTAATAATGTTCATGGATTTAAAAAATCATAGAACTGGAAAATGGTCATGAATTTAAAAAAAACACATATTTGAAAAAATGTTCACCAATTCATATAATGTTCCATATTATAAAAGTGTTCACTAATTTGGAATATGTTTAGGAATTTGGAAAGTGTTCACAAATTTCAAAAAATGTTCGTGAACTCAAATTTTAGAAAATGTTCTTGAATTTTATCAAAGTTCAAAGATGCAAAAAATATTCGTGAATTTAGAAAAAGGTAAAGAAAAAGAAGAAAAGAGAATGAAAACAAAAAGAAAGAGAAAAAGCAACCAGAAAACCAAGAAAAGAAACACGAAGAAGAAGAAAAAACATTTGGAGGCTTTCCAAAACTAGATGTAATCTTCCCAAACCGGGAGACACAAGTTTCATGGGCGCGTTCGGTAGCCTAGAGGAGGCCCAGCAGTCTCGCACAGTGCAAAAAATCAGGTGTTTGGTTTGTTGGGTAGCATGCGATTCCACGCCCGCATGAATCTTAAAGTACTCACGGACCAGGCTAGGGGAGGAACAGCCGAACTGGCCGTTTTTTTCAAAGTCGGGCTCGTGAGAGCCACGCGTGCCTCTCGCCAGCATGCGTTGGTAAGAGCAAGAGACAACAGGGCGTCTCACAACTCTCTCCCGTCACCACCAATCGCCCATTCACACGACACTCCTCTCTCACTCTATCACTGCCCCTATGATTTTTTCGATGGCCGACCCTCAACTGCGCCGCCCCACTCCTATCCTTGTTGGCAGCAACCCGATCCAAGTGCGGTGCGTGGTCGGCCTGACCAGGTAAGGCATTGACCTGCAGACGACTATCCGGTCATTGTTCCCCATTTGTAGCAGGTCACGGTTAGTGACCATTGACCCACCGTCGGCGTTCATGCCGATCGATGCGGTCATTGGCAGCACATCACTGCGATGGCGGAGGGAAGCATGTCGGTTGCAGCGGGAAGCCCATTGGTCGTGCCCAGGTGGGGTTTTTTTACTCTTGTGGGATGCTCTTCTGTCCTATTGCTCCAACCCAGGCAAAGAGGAGTGCGGCCGAAGCCTCGATGATTGTGCCCCCTCACATTGTGACCTCCAATGGTCGGGTCATCCACGTCGGCCCAACTCTTGTTCCTGCCAGGGTTTGGTCCGCGATAACTGGTCGCTTCAACGGCAATTGCTTCGGCGCGGGTGGTAAGCAATTTGTTCCCCATGCTCCCATTCGTAGGTTTTTTCTTCCATTCCAATGCAATTTGATTTGAATTGAATTTATTTCATACATGCTTGCTAGGTTGTTGGCATGATGAGAATGGTAGCTAGGTTGTTACATTGATTAGAATGCTTGCTAGGTTGTTGCTATAATCAAAATGCTTGCTACGTTGTTGGTATGATCAGACTACTTGGTAGGTTGTTGTTGTGTGCATGCATGATCATACTACAATGCTTGATACATGATCATACTACAATGCTTGATACGTTCTTACTATGTTCTTGTTGTGTGAATGCCTTCATCATCATCTTCATCCACAAACCCTAGCCGTCGCCATTTTCCATCTCCATAGCCATCACCTCCGCCACAGTGCTCTCTCATCTAATTCATACTTATAATCGTGCATATCACAAGGCATCCATTGTAAGACATATTTGCAACCAATCAATCTCAAGATGTGGTCTTCAATGTTTTCTTCTCGCGATCTAATCTTCATGTGTGAGTAGTTCGATAAGGTATGGTTTGAGGCATGAGCATTGCAACCCGAGGTATTTGTTGAGGGGATCAATGGAAGGCTTTGACATAACGTCTCGTATGTCTGAAATAAAATTGTTCTGTGAAGATGTCTCTTGTCTTGTTCGCGATCTTCATCCCTACGGGTACCCAGGATCATGGAGATCGAGCACTGGTGGGGCTAGGAGCAAGGAGACCATGAAGTGTTATACCGAACACCGGTGACAGCAAGGTTCAGTAGGGTAACATGGATCACATACTTGGGATAAATGAGCGTAGTCATTGAACGCCAAAGCTCTTGTCTGATTTCATTATATTAATTATCAAGGCAACCCCGCGCGACAGATAGGGCCTACGGTAGGGCACGTTCGTAGTCGGATCGTCAAGGTCGACTCCCACAGAAAACGATAGCCATCATCTCATCGAAACATCGGGACACCTTTGCCTCTATCAACAATTGATTCTTAATGCATGACTCGTGCCGTTCAAGATGTTATTTGGACACATCCCCCACTTCGATTCGTAACAAGCATGTCTCAATTGGTGACTTCCAATGCACAAATTAATATCATGTATGATCCCAGCGCAAATACAAGGTTGTAAGCATTAAGACCTCATACACGTACCTCTTTTTATTATAAGTGTTTGAATCACTATTTGTTTGTTGATCTGGTCAAAACCTGGATTTGACACTTTGACAAAAGTTTGCTAGAGACCATCGCTTCAAGCGAATCTTCCTCTCGTGGGTTCGATAACCCAAAGCCACCTCTGGGGAAATAGGTGTGCGATACTTTTTCTGTTCCAATATCGAATCAATAAAATGAGGTATCAAAGATGCATAATTTTGATGCATAAAGAATTGGCAGAAATAATATATACCAAAAAGGTTCGCATTTCCTCAAGCTTTCCAACGTCATATTATTTGCTGCATTCAGACATACGGTTAAAAAATTAATTTGAATATACGAACTCGGTGGAATTTGTACCGTTTTCTAAATTACTTTTAAACCGTTCAATATTATAAAAAACTTTCAACGTGAAAAGGTAGCGCATTTTCATAA